CCCGCCCCGCCCCTTCCTCTCGCTCTCCCTGGACACCCACCCTGGGGAGCTGCCAGCCAGGGCACCGGGGGGCCGAGGCCCGGCCCACCCCGCGAGGCCCACGGCCGGGTGAGGGAGCCCGGAGGACGGAGGCCCCTGGGGCCCCGGGACCCGCAGCCCGGACGCCGTGCCATGCCCCTCAGGCCAGGCACACGGGGCCTGCTGCCCCCTGGCTCCCCTGTGCCCTCGACGTGGCCTCCTGTTGTCTCGGGGCCTCTCGCCCTCAGATAAGCACCCCCTCCTCTGGGTCCCCGCTATTTGCCAGGACACTGCCCGGGTGCAGGGCCACCCACAGCCAGGAAGCATCCCGGCCACGCTCCCTGTGACGAAGGCGCCTCCCCAGCCGAGGGTGCCCAAGGCCGGGTGCCCCGTGTGCGGAACCCGGGCGGGGACGCCCAGAACTGGCCCTCAGAGGTGACCACGGCTGCAGGAGGCCTGTGGGTCCTGGGCTGTGGCCACAGGAGTTACATTTACCCCCCTGCGGGGCTGGCGCCTGAGAAAGGACAGGCCGCCACCTGAGCTTGTCCTTTTCGGGACCCGCTAACCCTGGTGGCTCCTGCCCAGAGCCCCTCCGGGTCCCGGCAGGCTGGCCAGCTGTGGGCTCACCCGTCCCCAAGGCTGCTCTGCACTCGGCGGCCGAGGGGGGACCGGGGGCAGGTGCGGAGCCAGGGGCCTCGCTCGGCCACCGGGAGGGGCAGCCTTTCAAGGGGGCGAAGGCCCGCATTTCGCACAACGCTCAGCAGTCACCCCAGCCTGCGGGGAGGGGCCGTGGGGGCCGTGAGCACCAACTACCTATTCAAGTAAAAATATTAATTGGCTCCATCTGTGTCGGCCTAATGACCGGTTAAATGACGGATCACGGGCGTCTTAATTAAACCCGCTTTCCCGGAGCGCGTGGGGGAGGGCTCGTGGCCCGCGTCGGGCCGGGGCATCTCTGCTGAGCCATCAGTGAGCAACTGTGGGCAAGGTCGCGCCGCGGACTTCCCGCAGGCCGCGGGGTCGGAGCCGGGCCTGGGGCTGCGGGCGCCGGCTCCGTCCCCGAGCTCACGGTCAGGGCTTCTGGGGAAAGGCGGGCTGGGCCCCGGCCCCCGTCCCACCGGGATCCTCGCGGGGCCGGCCAGCTCCCGGCCGCGTTTGTGAAATCGAGTCCGCGTTTTGCGGCCGACACGGCCTCGCCTCGCTCAGGAGCTGGCGGGGCCTGTGTCATGTTGTGAAATTCCGTCATGTGCCAGGAATGTCTCCGCAGGAATGCGCGGCTGACGGAACAGGCCTCCCGGGAAGCAGGCCCGTGTGAGCCGCCCGGTGTCGGTGTCGGGGCTTCAGGTGACGGCTGAGGCGGCGTGGGGACCCGACTTTGAGGCCGCGCAGAAGCCCCGGTGCGGCTCGCGGCGGGGAAAAGCCGGAACCCCGTCCGCACGCACTCTCAGGGGGCCTGGACTAAACGTGCCACAGCCCCCGTGACCCCGCAGCCTTCCCGTGTGTCACCCACGAGCAGGGCCCTCCCAGGACTCTGGGGGGGGGGCCCCCCGAGTGCGGTGCCTGGGCAGCCCCTTCCCCCGGCGCTCACCCCCCCGAGAGCACGCGGTGAGCAAGTCCATGGGGCCCCCACAGCTCCCGGCACCATGTTCCAGGGTTGCAGACTCGGGGTGCAGGGGCAGGGATGGGAGGGTTTCTAGTGTGGCCTCATGTTGTGGGCAGGTATTGGGGTGCTGGGGGGGGCGTTGGCACAGCTGGTTGCTGGATGCAGGGGCTTTTCGAGTCCAGAGCCAGGTTTGGGGGCCGGTGCCGGGAGCTGGTGCCCAAACCAGAGTAAGGCGGCTGGGGGGACATCCCACAGCAAAGGGGTCAGGAGGCGCTAGCGGTACAGGCAGGGTCCCCCCGTTCTGCCCTGGGTGGCGGCTGGGGGGTCACACAAACACCTGGTTGGGGCAGAGGACTCAGGGGCACAGAGCTGGGGGGCTCGTCAGCAGCGGGGCGTCCGGGCCGTGGGGGGCGGCAGGATCTGAAGGAGGCCAGGAGGTGGGCTCCGAGGGCTGTGGACTCCGGGGGAGCAGGGATCACGTCTGCGCTCTGATGTCGGCTGCCCAGCAGTGCTGGGGGCCAGCGGGGCGCTCTGCACCGGCCTTCACCCCACAGCCGGGACCCTGGGAGCCGGTTTCTATACTCAAAAAACGTAAGCTGTGCTGCACGTGGATGGAGCCCCAGGGAGATGGGCCGGGCCTCGCCCGGCTGACCGCCCTGCCCCTTGGGGCCCAGGCCCCGGGCGCGGTGCAGACGTGGGCAAAAGCAGGCCACGGTGCTGGCCACGGGCTCACTCAGAGACGGGGGGCACTTCAGAGCCCACGTGCACCTTCCTGGGCGTAAGCGGAAGATGCTTGAGGCCCCCACAGCATCGCCGGCAGGGCCCCCCCGTTGCCTTTGGATGGCGAGGGCCTTGTTTTTGCCGAAATGAGACGTTTCCGCGTCAGCCTCAGCGTCAGAGTTGCCACGGTGACAGCCTCAGGCGGAGGCCCCGGGCGCTTGGTTCCGTGACTCGTGTGTCAGCTGCTGGCGCTCACAGGTCCCGAGCCCGACGCTGAGCACGGGGCCCCGGGTAGCAGGATCCGGCTGTTTCTGTGCAAAGCGAGCGCCAAGTGCAACTCGCACTGCTGCACAGACGGCTCTGCCCTCGGCGCCCGTGGCCCAGCAGCTTGCAGCAGGGCGCCGGCCCCGAGGGTTTCCACCCCCACTTGTCCCACACCCTTGGTGGCGCCGACGTGCCAGCTGATGGCAGGAGCTGCAGGCAGCCCAGGGCCCCCTCCCTCCTCCTGCCGAATTCCTTGTTTTCCTGAAGCGCGGTGGCTGGGTCTGGGCTCAAGGCCTCCGCGCTCTCCTGTGGCTATTTCGACGCCCCGAGGGCCGGCAGTGTGGGGACAGGTGCTCTGGTCTTGGCCGTGCGAGGCGTCCCCGGCATGCTGACCCCCACGCTGGGGTCGGAGGCCTGGCCTTGCAGGGCGGGTGTCTCGGAAGGCCTGAAGCCTGGCCCGAGGCTCTTCGGTGCCACCCGAGGGGTCCTGTCTCTCAAGGGCGGTGATTTCTCTCAGGGTCTGGGGGCTGAGTTCCTGGGATGCTCTGCCTCCAGCTCCAGCTCCAGCTCCAGCTCCAG